ACACACACTTCTGCTTTCTGCAAACTTCCTGCACAAACAACGCAGCTCACCGCTCACCGAGCTGTCCCACTTGTGAGCTCCCTCCGCCAGCAAAACACACCACCATGCTGCTCCAGTTCAGTCTAGATTACTGACACCCAGAACAATGTGGCTCCTACGATGACACACTATTTTTAGAGGGAGAAAATTGCTTGTGAATAGCTAAGCATAAAGACTGCATTCAAATTTCCTGTTAGTCAAGACAGGGACGACTGAGGGATAAAACATATATATACATTTGCAATTTCACAGTTTCTTAACCACTAATTTTCCTGATGAGGAACTTTTGGAGCTGTGCATTTACTCATTTGTTGTTTTGCTTCTTTTTTGGTTACAGTTCCTGGTCTGTGGGATGTGTGGAGTCCTGTGCGCTCGAAAGAGGACGGGTCTTATCGTAAGTACATACACCGTGACTCTCTCGGGAAGGGGGTTGTTCCTTGAAAGCATTCACATTTGTTGTTCTCCTTTCTTAGATTGTGGTTTATAAACAGCATGCATGCAGGCAAACAGCAGAATGTCTCCAAAGATGTGATGAGGAGTGTGTTAAAGGAGTAGTGTGAGGTTTTTGAGAATAAGATTATTTGCTTTTGCGTTAGATGAGAGGATTCTGACAGGAAGCAAGTTGTTGAGGGGGAGAAGGTAACAAAATCCAACTAGAAGCACCACTAAAGCTCAGTTATTATTATATTATATTGTATGATGGTAACGCTGAAACTATTTCTGAGATCAGTTGCCAGGAGACCAACACAAAGAAAGTCCAAGAAGTACTAAGAGGGAGTATGTGCTGCTGAATTGAATACAGAAAGCCAGGCTCTCTCTGTCTGGAATGATTTGAATTGTCTCCTGGCTGTAGCTTCATATTTACACACATGAGAGTGGCATCAGTCATCTAACTGTGTTGCACAGTTTCAGTATAACACCCAAATATCACATCCATGTGTCAGACGTTCCGATTTTGCCTGTTAAATGTTTTGCTGCACCGTTATTCACATGTAATATCCATACAGCAGACTTTATGATGCCACAACTAACTGGAAACAAATGTTTTTTTGAGGGGTAGTGTGCATCTAAAAGAACAAAAAAAACCCATGAAAGATGCCAAAGATTAAATGCAAATTCTTATTATTATTACACATTACGATGTAAACAAAGCTGTTAATATTTATTGATACTCAACAATGTTTTGTGCTGTCACCTATCACACATCACAGTTTAATCCATGTAGTCTGAAGCATGCATTCCCACACACAAGCATAATCTATAAAAACAGTAAACGCACAAAGGTGTGTGTTTATGTGCGCGTCGTCCTCCGAGCAGGTGCACACAACGAGAGAGACGTCTGAGGAAATCAGAGGAGACAAGCAGTCACCTCTCTTCTCTTTCTGTCGCTCTTTCTGTCTTTTTTACAGTCTCTCAGTGTCTCCGAGTCCTCGTGTTTCTCTCTGACTCTCTGTCTCCTGCAGGGAGGGCACTAATGATGGATCAATGTCAGCGCAATCTGCTGTAACAGAGACATCCCTCAACCTTTCCCTCCATCTGTCTCACCGTATCCACCTCTTCTCTCCTCGTCCTCCTCGTGCCTTTCTCCTTTCCATCACTCTCATTCGTCCGTCCACCTCATCCTCCATCCAGTCGTTTCGATGCTCTGACTCCCTCCATCTTCCTCATCTCCTCCTCCTCATCTCCTTCCATCTTCCTCCCCCTCCCCTCCCTCCTTGACTGCCTGTGGGGTGATGATTGCATTAGGTTGGTTTGACTCCGGACCCCTGCCAGCCGCTTTCCACACTTCACCGGGTAATGACTGAAATTGGAGATGCCCTTTTTCCATGCGGTTAAAGGCACTAACGGCATCTGTACTGGGAGCAATGAAAGAGAACCTGCACTCCAAACACAATACACACACACACACACACACA